ACAAACACTTTTGGGGATAGCCTAGACCAGCACTAGTTCCAGTCTGGCTGGGATGGGAATGAAAGGGAAGAAGGAAGGGAGGAAGGAAACAAGGAAGCCCCCAATTTGGCCAGACAGTAAGTCATGCTGATTGGTATCGGCACCAGCAAACAGGAGCTGGCTTGTGTTATATAGCAGTACAGCTGCAACCTAAATGAATTTGTTCCAGAGGCAGGAACAGGCTGTCGCGGTGCTCCAGGAGCCAGGATGGTACCTCACTCATCTGCAGGTGAAAGCTGAGCAGCTGCTTGAGAGCAGAAATGCAGCGTAGATCTGTGCTATGCGCCCTGGGCAGGGCCAAGAGCAGCTGTGGGGTCAGGCTGATGTTCAGAGGTTTCAACGAGAGCTGCAGGGGTCTGGGGTGAGGGAGAGGGAGCTGCAGTGGGGAAACTTGTCCCTTCCCAACATTTTTGCCTTCATAATACTGAAATCCCTTTTCTCTCAGGTCTCAGGAGAGCTGTTCCCCAGCCATTCTCCGGAGCAGGAAGGACATGGAATAGCACATTCTTTTATCTCTTTTGTATAGGGTGACATTGCAATTTTGAGAGGTAGTTGCATGTCCTAGCTTGGCAGCTGAATTGCCTTAGGCTTCCTGGGTAGCTGATAGGAAGGGTGCTCAAAATGGCTTTCCAGAAGATCCAAAATTAGAATTACCCTGTAGGGATTCTTTTTCCTTTCCATCAGCTGCAATTAAATGCTCTTAATTTTGGCTCTTTGAGTTTCACCTACATCAGATGCCTAAGGACAGAATGAGTGTCCATCTCAGACTGGGAGTGTGACTTGCTGAGCTGCATTGACACCCAGCTGTCGCAATTAAATTTGCTAATCAACACTGGTTAGGAAAGCAATGCTGCTGAGGGATGGAGGGAGGGAGAAAACTATATGCCAGATTATTCTGAATTTGCCGCCCAAGGCATCTGCTCACATTTTAAGTATAAATAAGCCACATATTAGATGTGGATGGTTCATGTGGCAGTCAGCCCAATCCTGCTCTCAGTTTGTGGATCATTACCAAAGAAAACAGAGAAGGAAAAACTGTGCCTAAGCAGGTAAAGAAAACAATTATTATATAAAAATGAGTTCTTAATTACCCAGATGTGCAATCAAAGAAAAACAGCTCTACAGCTGTGCAGATACTGTGATATTTACTGAAATCTCAGCATAATTCAATATAGGAAATAATGCATTAGAAATGAATGCAGTCTGCAGAAACTTGTTTCCCAGCACTCTTAATGTGGTGGTTCATGGAATATGGGACTTATTCTCATTAAAAAAAAAAAAAACCCCAAAAAACCCAGTAATTTATCTGCAGGACAGCCGCCTGCTATCGACTTGCAGCTAAAGTGTTAATTATCTGAAACAAAACAGGGCATCAGGAAAACCCATGGCCACTGTTTCTTTGCTGACTTTGCTTTCCTTCATCGTTCCTCAGTCTTCTTTTTATTCTTTTTAAGGTTGTAGTGATTTTGGCTGCTGTTAGCACTCTGCCTAGGCTGATGTACTGGCAGGCATCGTCCTGGCCTCTCTTCATCCCTGTGCCAGGTGCACTATCTGCATAGCAGGACCAGCTGTTTGGGTTTTGGCCTCCTAAGTGCTGGTGTTTTATTCTGCTTTCCTGTCATTGAATGAGGTCACCTTAATATAAATAACTTTATTAAAACACTAGTGGTTCTCTAAACAAAGCAGCAGCTCGAGAGAAAGACTTTGAAGAAGACATCTTATGGGCTTGGCCTGGCTAAGAGCTGCCCAGAGAAATAGTCTGTCCTTGTCAACTGTGCTCCCACCACGTGAAGTCAGCCTAGACCTCTGGGTAGCTGTCTCTAAAGCTAATGGTGTCTAGTGCCACTCAGCTCACAAAAACATCACTTCAGGCGTATGTATTTTTTGGATGGCACCTAATAAGCTGATCTTGGTTGCAGAGTTGTAGGATGCTTGTTTCTTTCTGTAGGACTTCATGTCAGATATCCTCTAGGTCATTGGTGCCCTATGATATGACTATTATGGGGGAACAACAGCTTTTCTTTTTCTTTGTGGTTGGGTTGGAGAGTGACCAGACAGCGCTGCCTTTCATTAATGTGCTGGCAAATTAACTCCCATCCATTTCCTTCCTCATCAGTCCCTCTGCTGCAAGCCTCCTGCTGACCCTCATCCTAGTGTCATTCAGATAAAATTTGCTAATTATGGAGCCTTTACTCTTATTCCTAGCTCCTGAGGCTGGGTTCACTTCCAAGCGCAGTTGACACTGAAGCCGCTGCGGTCATCCCTTCTGCCCTGTAGTCAATGCACTTATTGCCTTAGTGCTTCCTGGGAGAACACAGGTCAACCAGCGGAGCCAGTGCTTAGAACTGATGAATAAAGCTAGACTTAAGATTAAAACAATCTGTAGCTTTGCACTGCTTTTAATTAAGGAGAGGGGGGCAGGAAGGTGCTGGTGAGAGGGAGAAGGCAATTCTGTGAAATGGTCTCCAAGATGTAAAGGGAGGATCCTGCTCTCCCAAGCCCTGCACCGCCGGCCAGCTTGTCTCCTCCAGGATTTGCTGAGGGTGACGGTGCCTATTTAAAAAGAGCATCCAAGGGACGGTGACAGGCAGGGACATTGTCCAAGCCCCACTAAAGAAGGTGCCGACCAGCCCAGCGAGGAAAGAAACAGAGCACCGCACATTCTGTAAAGAAAATGTTTTATTTAAAGTGTTAAATACCATCACCAGAATGAATTTGATTTACATTGGTTGGTGTTCATTAACAGGCCTAATCTGCCTTTTTTTCTTTTTTTTTTCCCCAGCTGTAATTCCTTTCAGCTTTTTAAAACATACTATGTACAAGACAGCAGTGATCACTGGAATAGTGCTACTTACATGACTAAACCATAAGTAGAGTTGCAGATGTGTGAAAATTAAAAAAAAATACATTTTTTTAAATAAATACTGCATAATGACAAGTATGTACAAATCTTCCATGCGTCATGTCCTTGGTTTTAAAATTTGAAATAATTTATATAGGACTATGTATACAAGAATGTGTGAGTGCAGCTCACAGTTCCAGGAAAACGGTTATGTATTTTTCTTTAATCATAGGGGATACTGTTGACAGCATGTGGCATTATTTGTTTGTTTGCTGGTAGACAGTGTCTAAATTATTTCCATAAATACAATGTTTACCAGTCTGTCCATTAACTTAACAATAATCCTTTATATATTCTCTGAAGACAAGACACAATCTTGATTTATATGATATTGCACAAAGTAAAAGGCATTTTAAGTGATACTATTATTACTTTTGCCCTCTGAAAAGGCTTGTACATTTTTTTAATGGGAAACAATAGATTTTCAAATAAAATCAGAATAATTCTGTGTGGCCTTAAAGGTAATACAGATTTCAAAAATTATTGCAAGGTTTCAATATTGAACCTTAAATAGGTATTAAAGGCATATAAAGACCCAGAAAAAATGGGACAATTTGCTATTAAATGTTAGCCAGTTACATTCCCTTTAAATAATGTAATTTAATGAGAAGCTTGAACTTGCAGCACCACCCAATGGTAGTTACTGTCTGCTACAGAAAACAGGTTTTTGAAGCTCTGTTACCTGCACTGTGGGTTCTGGTAATGGTGACAAATAATTCTTCGAGAGGTACTGATAAACTTTCTTTAAGGCTATTTTATGAACCAAAGATTGACATTTTTCTGACTGATATTACCAAATTATAACTTTTCCAACACAAATGTAGTCCATGAAAATTGAACTGTACAGCAGAATGGTAAGAATTAGTAACCTTTTGTTGTTTTTATAAACCCAAGAACGTAGCAATTTATTTGGTTTAGTGCAAATAAAATTCCTTGAATTTATTCAAAAAAAAATCAAACATTTACTTGGTTTTTCTTCTTCCCAAAACCTTCAAGAAATGATAGTTCAACCTTTGAATGAATGATGCTGGTGCTGAAAACAAATTTATTGACAACATCTTACAATGGTCATATGGTTCCAGTATTTTGCTGTAGAATTCAATTTGAAGGTGAGAAAAAAAAATGAAAATAAGTTACCATGCACTGTACAATAAATTGCAAAAAGTTCAAATATCTTCTTTATCAAATACATGCTGAATTACATTAATGTACTCCCAAGCCATGTTGCAAAATCCTTTTCAACATGCTTGAAAAAAAGTTCTTAAACAATATTTTTTCTCAAATAATTCAGAAATGCAGAACAATCTGCAACCCTGAACCAAATATGGGGCATAAGAGAGTAGTAAGTCAAAAGGTAGCCATTTCAGAATATGATGATCATCCTGGGAAGTAGGGGGGAAAAAGAGCAAAAGGAAAAAGGGAGATTGGAGGAGAGATAAAGAAGGAGGTAAAAGAAGTGTACAATTTGCACATTATGTTGAACTTTACAAGGCTTGTACCTTTTACATTTAAATAAATTTAATATATTACACTTATTTCTTGTCACATAAACAGAATTTTAAATATTTGCTAGAAATTATTTTTAATATAAGTCTGCAAAAATACAGACCATGACTGGTTTAAAGAATGATAAACGTGGTGTGTCTTTGTATCACCCTGTTGCATTCTCTTCCCTTTAAAACCATGCACTAGTGAAATTTATTTTTAAAAATAATATAAATTGTTGAAAATGGCTGATTTATTCTTTTTTTCTTTTTTTTTGCAAGTTGCAGCCCCAAGAAAATAATTTAAGTGTTCAGCTAAATCTGTGTCCATGCAAAAAAGTTTCTTTAATTTCATACAGTACAGTATATCCACAGAATTTTATTTTTCAGAGAGTCCATCGCATCTGGGGTTTCACTGTAACTAGAGCTGGAGCTGGGAAGCCTGTCACGTTTAAGTCTTGAACCTTTCCCATATGGAGAATTTTCGGAATTTTCAAGTGTTTCTCATGACAGCTGACTTTTCCAGCGCTCTTGTATTCTTCCACGGTTCTTCCAAGGTCTGCAAATCCACTTGTGACAGGACTTCAAGGGAGGGAAACTCTGTTTCTGTGGCATAACCAAGCTTCAGGAAAGGGAGGGCGGATAAATAAAGAAACAGGAGCAACAAAATAGATATGCCATTGAAAAGGACTTTTGTTGCATGAAACAGATTGATTCTTTTAGTTTGGTCCATGGCTTCGGGTTGGACCAAACTTGAGTGTCCCTGAACTCCAAACCTGTCAGTCCATTACCAGGTCAGTCCTTCACCTGAGGGCCTTCCATAGGGCACAATGTGTGCAACTTCCTTGAGAACACAGGATCGCGTTGTAGCCCTAGAAACAGGCTCAGAAGACACAACATTAAGCATGCAGTGTTACCAGGGTTGGCGACCTGTGATTTTTGTGTTGTTTTTTTATTTTTTGGAACGCTGGTTGCTATGAGAACAGTTTCACAGCTGCTATGAGCGAGCGTACGAAGGTCCCGTTGAGCTTTCCAGAGAGGATTGGGAGGCTCTTCTAGTGAGAGGAGCTAAAGTTGGGTCTACTAGGGAAGAAGGAGGGAAAAGTTTGAACCACCCAATCACCATGTTGGACAGGTCCAGTTCATCTAAAAGTATCTGTGCCACTCCCATAAAGGATTTGTGATCCATACGTCCATAGTCTCCCCAAACAATTATCTGTTAGAGAAGGAAACAAAAGACAACAGAAGTTTCAACAAAAGCTATAAAAACTGCAATGTTCTTGTTCAAAAGCCTCCACTTATTTTATCATAGCAAGGAATGTGATGTCTGACTATGCAAATATTACCATGATGCAGCAGCAGATGTGATCTGGGCACTAATTTATTCATACTAAAGAATGCCCAGAGAGATAAGGCACCCATACATGCAGCAGAGACAAAATAATCTAGAACTAACTTTTGCTCAGCACTTTGTACTTGCATGAGCACTGCAGCATCATCAGCAGATGTTGCTTATATGACTTACGTGCTCAACAAGTGCTTGAATCAGCAGAACTTGCCAAACGAACCATGAAAGTCTGAAGCTCATTCAGTGAGAACTGTGCAGGTAGCATGTTTGCAGATGCAGAAAAATATTGATGCAAATTACCTGTAAAACTTTTCCTTGGGGACTTTCTTCAAATGATAGAAGTTGCTGATAAAGCGGTTCCAGTGTTTTTCTTGCTACCTTTGTTTTCTTTTTGGCTATGCAGACTCCATTTTCTAATAGATACACCTTTACATATGGTGCTGAGGAGGAAAGTAAATAAAGGACAGTAAGTAAAGGACAAGTCCAGATTTTTTTCTGCATAATAAATGCAATGTTCTACTATCATAGGCTAAAATCCGCCACTTAAAGGCTATAGTGCTTATATGAACATATTTTCACCAACAATACTAACATGTACTAACATGCAAAGCATTCATGCATTTCATTTACTTTATCTTCCTGGTATACTTTTTTCTCTAATTCCTTTTATATAATTCTTTTGCCATGATATAACTCGGAGTTTTGACCTGGAAAAAATCTGATACCCCTATATATAGTATCCCTATTGTAGTTTGCAAAATAGGTCTGTTAAGTAAGTGAATGACTTGCACTGACTTTGGTGACATGTGGATAAATGCTCCAAATTGTTAATAATTTAAAATAATGTACAAGGTGAAAATCAGTGGAGAAAAGACTGACATGATTTCTATTTTGGCAGAAGAGCTTGCTAAAAATATCATTGTATCGTCCTTTTCATACAGTGCTATAGGACATCAGACTATAAAATAAGGAGTAAATATCAAGTACTGGTCTAATTCTCACAGTAGGTTCATATTCCACACATCTTGTTAATTCCCTCTTTCCTCCCTAAGACTCTTATATCACATTTTCAGCACAGCCTTCTCCTGTGCCTCATAGCCAAGGATGCATTTGCTGTTACTAAAATAACTTTAGGGTTTTTTCATAAAGTAGACAAAGTATCTCCTGAGATTTAAAACGTGCCTAAAGTGCTCTGGAAGTTTAAAATGTAAATCTTTAAAATGATCTTTTGTACTTACTGCAAACTTTGCTATCACTTCAGTGTGTTTTTACATTTCAATGTACAATACCATCATCTACTCTTAGGTGTACGTGCTAAACGATTCTTTTCACTTAAGTGAACAGTAAAGCCACAGAAGTTGGGAGAGGGTGGTGGTGAGTGGGTTTTTTTGGTGAAATTTTATTCATGTTGCTTCTTTCTTACCTGGCAGTGTCTTTGAACCTGGTTTGACAACAAGGCCACGGGCTCGAATTATTTCTACTTCCAACTGTCCTTTCTTGTCCATCATTCCCACCTGGATATCTCCTAGGAAAGAAAAAGAAATCCTGGCTTTGTAAATCAGAAATATCTAATTATGCTAACAGATATAGAAAGTTCTACAATGAGTATGTGGTAGCTTTTTTCTTGCATTATACCAGAATCATCACAGTTTTAATACTAATAGATAATTTAAGACTTAGCCTTTTCACAGCTATTTATATTAATTATATAATACATTACATTATATTAATTATATTAATACATTACAAAACAAACAAAAACAAGCAAACAAAAACCACAAAAAACCTGCAAACTGCCCGAATCATTTCAAATTATATCCCTTCCTGTCTCGTGAATTCCAGAGAAATACAGACAGCAAGGGAATTACTACAACTCTGTAAAATTGCTTGAAATTTCTTTTTGTCATGGTTCTAGTTAAATTAAAAAAAGAGAAAGTATAAAAAGTGATTCAGAGAAAGAATTAGTCTCATTAGCCACATTTTAAAGATGTGAAAACTAAAGAACAGACAAACAATGATTTTTTCAATACATCTTTCTACTTCTGACCGTCCTAATGAGCACCCACAATTACGATCAATTTTGGCTGAACTTGAGGTTATTGTTCTGGTTTTAGATGAGTTGTCCAAAATCACATGGCAGTATGTGAAGAATTAGAATCCAAATCATTTCTGTCCTAATTACTAGACCCAGTTGATGATGTTGCATCTGTGGGACATAAATACTTACCCATAGATGGTGTCGCCAAAGTCTGACGCCCTACAAGCTGAGCAGGACCAAGTCCATCCAGAAAATCACTGAACTGGCTGTCTGCGGCCAACCTCACGCCAGGGAAAATCAAACTAAAAGATAACATCGCAAAAATCAACAAATATACACGGAATTTTGTCCATTTTTCTTTTCTATACTTTTTATCGGCATTTTTAGCATTTACACTTTTTGGTACCACTGCTCATGAAGAATTTACTTGCACTGAGAAGATTACAAAGCAATTACTAAAATCTTCAAAATATCCTAGTGTTCCGTGAGTAGCAATTCATCCTCCAACATATAACTGAACATGTGAAGTAAGCATGGTTTTTCATTTCAAAAATAGTATTTTTCCATCATGTTCCTTTTCCCCAATATATCAAAGATGCTTGTTAATTACTGCAGTATTCATATGAGATCAGTTCAGTAAGATGCTAATACCAGCCCTTAACAGTAATTTAGCTACACAAGAGTAAAATTTCTCAGGAAACTTTTCTCAGTCAATGTGAACTCAATGACTGCATGTCAAGAGTATTCACTGAGACAATTATGTTAGACTGAATATTGATCATTGTTTATAAAAGCAACTTTTAAGTGAGCATTCATTATGAATACTTTTCTAAAATATCTCTAAGAATGACACATATTCAATAATGGTACTTAGGTGGTGAATAACCAAGTAACTTAAAATTCAGGTTCAGAAAACTTGCCATAAATTACCCGAGAAACATTTCAAGGCAACAATTATTCATGGAAACTATCTGATCAATAACTCCCTAAGGAAAAAATGGTAATTTCCTAGATGATCAATGAAAAGACAAAGAAGCGAAACTAGTGAAATTTGTAATGACTGACCATAAATAGATATCCATCTCAACCACTTAAAATACATCACCTTGGACACCAGCTCTGCAAGGTGCATCGTCCAGAGCAAGTATATTGCCTAGGGGCTCTGGATACTATTAATAAATCTATTCACAGTAAGATTTTTGTTGGAAAAGCTTTGAACATCCTATTCATAGGTTGTTTAACTTGTGCCTTTCAGAAAAGCGTAATACAGGAAATAGATGAAAGTTTTATGACGATGGAAGTTTCTCTATCCAGAACACTTCTTCAGGATTAATTAGCACATTTTTTGATAAACTAGGTTGAACCTAGTGAAGGTCATCTGGAAGTGGAAGAAATTTCATCTCTCTGGAAATACGCAAGGAGATGCACGTGAAGGGAGAGTTTTGCTGAAGAGAACCTGTCCTTTTCTTGTGATCTACACACTGCACTCGACCCGTTCCCGCTCTCCCAAACTGCTGCTCCTGTCTGGTCTCCCCGGTGTCTGTAACATGGTGCAGGGCAGAAATGTCAGGAGGGGTATCAGTAATAACTCCTGCTTTCTGCTTACTTTCCTTCCGAGCTGTAGCTGTTCATGCTCCCGTCCGTGGATTCCCGGCTGGCCTGACGTGTCATCCAGTTCCTCATCTCCACAGCCAGCCCCGTCTCCGTGCTCCTCTGCACTGTACTCCGCAGCTTCTTACCACCTGCCTCTGAAGAGACAAAACACAAGTCTTCATGATAACGTGCTGTAATAACGGAGGGCTCCTGCAAAATCCCCAGCTGGGCTTGGATGGCACCTCTGGAGATCATCTGGCCCCACTTTGCTGCTCGAGCAAGGCCCGTTGCCCAGGACCGTCTCCGTTCAGATTATGAATAGCTCCAAGGATGGAGACTCTGTAACTTCCCT